TTTTTATATTTCTGTGTGCTTTTATCTTTCTGGTATTGAAAACTTGGTGACTTACATTTTATCTTTTTCTTTTATTTTCAGAAAGGCCAGAATTCTAATTTATATTTGGTCATTGCAACTACATTAATCTGATTTTTCTTCTCTCTCTCTCTCTCTCTCTCTACTCCCCCCAAATTGCATCAAAAAGTAGTTTGATTAATTTATAATTTTTACTTTGTGTGTCTATATAGCTTTAAGGCTTTAATTGGTAGCAATAATTAATAAGAACCTTACAAATATTTCTTTGGTCTCATAAAGGATATATAAATTAGATCAACAAATATGCCCTGTGTGTAAAATAACTTTGATTACTTACTTGAAAAATTAAAATCTCTATCTCAGTTTTATTTTCCATAATTGAATTTACAAAATCCTATTTTACTTGGGTTTAGTCTTTTCTTTATATAGGCATAAATAATTAAATAAATCTTCACTTAATTGAGTATAGAAAACAAGAAGTAACATTCATAGCTATCTCTTTCACAGGACCGAACTATTACATATAGTATCATTATTCACTCAACTATGCATACCAGTGTAGCTAAAAGGACTAACTTTTGAGAACAATCTTGAATTTTTTTTTTTTTATGACTCATTAACTCATGTTTTTTTTTTTTTGAGACGGAGCCTCAAGCTATCCTCCTGGGTAGAGTGCCATGGCATCACACTCACAGCAACCTCCAACTCCTGGGCTCAAGCAAGTCTCCTGCCTCAGCCTCCCAAGTAGCTGGGACCACAGGCGCCCACCACAGCACCTGTCCATTTTTTGGTTGCAGCCATCATTGTTGCTTGGCGGGCCCAGGCTGGGGACTCGAACCCGCCACCTTAGGTGTATGTGGCTGGCACCCTAGCCGCTTGAGCCACAGGCGCCAAGCCGAACTCATGTTGATGAAGTTCTAAAAATCTTAGGGTTTCCAATATCCAGGATAAATGTTACATTTTTAAAAGATGTCACATAAATTTTTTTCTCAGGAATGTGTGCTATTTATTAATTATTAAAAATTAAACAAGTCTCTAGAGTAGCATCTATGGTAAAGTAAGAGTGGTGTGGTAGAAGATCCTGCCTTTTTTTCCTTTTTTTTTTTTTTTCATTTAAGCAGTGATTACTTCCTAAGTCTTACTGTAAGTTATCAAGAAGTACAATTGAGTACCTATTTGCATATAAGACATTTAATTGTCTCTTAGTTCAGTTGATTAGAATTCCAGTCCAGTTAGGTCAAGCTCATTGATTAAGATCTTATGTGGAAGAATTTATTTAAACATTTTTTTGTGTCCACAGACTACTGCTCTAACCTTACGTAAATGTTGGCCATTAATCATTATGAAATTAGGCAAGAGGTCATGAATAAATGAGTTACCTGAATGAAAAATACACATCTTAGAAAGCACATTTCTCTGCTGCTTTGTTAAGAGTCTCCAAGAAACACAGAAATATATTATAAACTACTTTAAAATGTATCCCCTATAGGTTCAGAGTATGGTAAAGATAGTCTAAGCACGTCTTGAATAAATACATTATGTATACTTTCTTACAAATGTTTGCACATTTTGCTACAGATTATGTGTGGTTTGTGTGTTAATTAATTGCCATGTGGCCAGGAGAGTTGAACAGAGACTATCTATACCAAAGAACAGTTTTGCCAGGTAACTCTTAAGTTTTCAAAAGTCAGGTGGTGGTGTCAAATGCACCCAAAAAACTGTAACAAACTGGTCAATGTACAGAAGTGGTCAACATAAGGTATTCCACTGAGTAGTACATGTGGTGTATCTCCAAATTATGAAAATTAAGTCAACTTAAGGAAGTGGTCAACTATGGAGGTTCTATTATATTTAACTTACTAGGGAGTTGTAAACTTCAAAGGCTTTCATAATGCTTTTTATCAGCCTTTAATTTCAAGTTAGTTTTTCTTGTCAGGCAGAGTTTATAATTCTTTATCTCTGCTTGATTTTTGAAGGACAGTTTTGCCAGGTATAGTATTCTTAGTTGGCAGTTTTGATTTTTTACTAGCACTTTCAATATATTGTCTCCTGGTGATTTCCTTATACATGACAAGTCATTTTTCTAATACTGCTATTGAAATTATCTCTTTAACTTGAATTTTGACGTTTTGATTAAAGGATATCTCAGTGTGGATTTGGGGGGTTCATCTTATTTGGGGTCTGTTTGACTTTCTGGATTTAGATACCAATTTTCCTCCCCAAGTTTTGAATGTTTCCAGACATTTATTTATTTAAATAAGCCTTCTGTCCATTTTTTTCTTGTCTTTTCTTTTGGGACTTCCATAATGTATAAATTGGTCTGCTTAATTTCATTCTCTAAATCCCTAAAGATTTTTTTCTCTTTTCATTCTATTTTTTACTCAGACTTTATAAATTTATTTCCTTTCACATATCTTCAAGTATGCTGACCCTTTTTCTGCTTGACCTAATCTTCTGTTGAATCCCTTCTAGTGAATTTTTCAGTTCAATCATTGTATTCTTCAGTTCCAAGATATCTGTTGGTTCTTTTTAATGTTTATATTTCTTTGTTAAAATTCTTAACTTGTTCATATATTGTTCACTTGACCTTGTTAAACATCTTTATGATGACTGTTTTGAATATGCTGTCAGGTGTATTATATATCTCTATATCTTCTGGATTTGTTTCAGGATCTTGTTTCTTTGTTTGCGACATTTTTTCCTTGTTTGTTTATTTTTCTTGACTCAATGAGTTGGTTTCTATGCATAAGAAAAAATGGCCACTTCTTTCATTCTTCGTGGATTGGCCTTGTATAGGTGAAGACTTAATATTCAGCCTGATTAGCTGTGTTGTTGCCCTCTTAAGCCTTTGTGCTAATACAAACTGCACTATGTTTGAGTTTCCATACCAGTTCCAGTGTGGTAGGTTTCATGCTCACCAAGGAGAAAGGACCCTCTCAGTTTGTATCTGGATTTTTTACAAAGGGCGTTTGTGCATGCATTGTTATTGAATCAGTATATACATAGAGAGATAGAGGATCCAGGCTTTCCTATTCCACTGAATGCTCATGTCATCTAGTGTGATCATAGTTTAATGTTTTTCAAAATTTCCAAGGTAAAGGAAAAGTAAATAATGTACCTGATTAAAATCATTCAGAAAAAATGAAAATTACATTAGTTGTAAATACCACCTACAAGAAAAATAGGAATTTAGAAAATAACGTGCAATAAACATCCTTGAGGAGTACACTTTCCAGAAGATGCTTTTCATGACTTAATTGTATTTATCTCACATTTTCAAATAAACTTACAGACATCATTTTTAAATTAATCATATTAATTTTCTAGAAAAAGCCTCTGTAAAAGTATTATTACAAATTGGTTTGTTTTTAAAAAAATCTCATGAGTTTAATGAATTACACTAAATTAATTATGTTGTAGGACCATTTATAAAGAGACTTTACTACTGGGTTGTTAGTGATAAGAATATGAATCTTGTTTCTTTATTCTATTCGTATGCTGGAGGACTTTAACTGAGTTTCAGATTTAGAATTAATGTTCTTATTACTAATATTAGGAGAATCTGTCAAAATAAGTAACAAGCAACAATTTTTTAAGGTATTAAAAAAATCGACAAATATTATCTCCTAACAATGAAGAAAACAATAATAGTTCTCTGTGTTCAAGTTTCATTTACTTGGCTTTATTCTAAACAAATACATAAGGCTATTCTAGCTAAAAAAGATACGTATGGAATTTTTGCGTTAGCATTGCCTGAATAAAATAGTAAGATGATAGAGTGGTGGTGGTAGAGAGGGTAATAATTATAAAAATATTTTCTATCATCAATTCAATTCCAAGGAAATACCAGGCACTTTCCTAATCATTTTACATGTCTGATCTCATTTAATTGCTCCCAACAACCTTATGAAGCAGGCATTATTATTGTCCATGTTTTTAGAGATAACAGTAACTAAATCTTACAGAGATAATATACTACTTGTTTTAGGCCATGTAACTCCTTAGAGAAGGCAACAGGCATTATTCAAATCTAAGCAACCTGATTCCATAGGCCTTGCAATTTACCAGTATCCTATCTCGCAGCATTCTTATCTTGGTGTAAAGTACATATTCATCTCATTGACCATTTAATGTGAGTTCTAAATGATCCTAGAATATGAATAGACAGAAAAAAATTTAAGGTGTCCTTTTTATTTATTCATTCTATAACATTTATTGAACATCTGTCATGTATTGACACTGTTAAGAAGAATTTTTTGGCATACAGCATCAAACATGATAGACAAGGCTAGCCCTCATGGAGCTTATACTGCATATTCAAGTTGGAAAAAAAACTACAACGAGTAAGACTATTCCCTATGGTAAAATGGGCTATGAAGAAAAAAATCAGAGTTATGTGTTTCGCTGAGAATGGTAGTTGGGGACTTCTTTAGATAAAAATTAGGAAAGATGGTAGATTCAGAAAATTCGTATATCGTTATTATATTTATATGAAATTTTAGAGCAGACAAAAGTGATATGGGAGTTACAAGGGGGTGGGAAAACTTTTTAAGGGAGATGGTAATGTTCTATATTTTGATCACAGCAGTACTTACATTTAGCAAAATTAGTACGCTTCATATTGGTGAATTTTGTTACGTGTAAGTAATATCTTACTAGTGCAAATTTTTTATAAAGCAAATTGCTACCAGATTAAGTGACTGGGTAGATGGTGATTTCAGATGGTGATTTCATCTAGTAGAGTGATGAAAGGTTACATTTCATAAAGATTAAAAAAATCTAATTTGAAGGTATTAAGTTTTTGATCCCTTTTTATGAGCCTTTCACAAACATTGAATAGGAAGTTAGAAATATGGGAATAGAGTTCCAGATGAGTCATCAGGGCTGGAGATAAAAACTTGGGATTAATAGGCATATAAATGTTATTT